GAAGAAGAAGAAGAAGAAGAAGAAGAAGAAGAAGAAGAAGAAGAAGAAGAAGATTGCCACGTCACACTTAGTGTTACCATATTTAGAATTAGTAAGAGTTTTACGGCACTTGCAACACAAACTAGTCAGTTTAGTGCCGAAGATTCCAGGTGTTACGAGAGAGTAACATTCAAAGAAGAGAAGGAGAGAAGGAGAGAAGGAGAGAAGGAGGAGAGATGTTCGACAGGAGAGAAAGAGCAGACCACACCAGAGCACCAACCAACCATTCACCAGATCATAATACAAGTATTGAAGAAAGGACTTTGGGGGGGCGGGGGGGACGTTTTACGGCGCTCGCAACTGCATAAGGTCATATGAGCACGCAGGACACATCAAACATTTTCATTTGGTAGGAAATTTTGAATTTTGCCCAGGTGGCGGCCGAAGCCTACTCTTATCAATTTTGAACCACCAAGGGATCTTTAACGTGCGTAACTTGCATACGAGACATCCGAGATTTTTCGCCCTTGTCCGATAAGGCTAGGTGTAGCTCTTTCCTACCAGAAAATCAGGGGTGTGGCTGAAAGACAGCAGTAAGAAGGAGCCAAGGAGGAAGAAAGGATGTGTTTATCGAGAGTAACATACATAGAAAAGGAGGAGCCATACGAATGACAGATGTTGGACAGAAAAAACAACACAACAAAAGTCAAAAGCACTCACACTTGTTTCAAGCAACCATACACTCATATCACATGCCATTATCAAGCCGAAAACTGAACCACAGCTGACTAACTGCCGTATATTTTTAAAAATACAACCTATTCCAGGCTTGCCAACTTTTTCAAAACCCAATGAGGGGCATCCAATGTTATTACAATAAGTCAAAATACCATCAAACTAAATTATACCAGTTCAGTTTTTGGTAAGAATTTTACAGTGCTTGCAATACAATAAAGTCATATAAGTGTCAAAGATTAGAGATGTTACAAGAGAGTAACATAAACAAAACAAAAGGAGGAGAGATAAGGAGGATAGATGTTAGATAGAAAAGAAGGGGCAAACTACACCAGACACCCACCAACCACCCACTAAATTACATCAAATGGGACTGGTTTTTGCGTAGTGTAAGTGTTATGGCTCTCAAATTTCCTGATTACCAAATCAAGAAGTCTCAGGAAATTCGAGATAGTTGGCAAACCTGTGATTCACAATAGGCCTACTAAAAAGCTTTCCAACTACCGCCTACTTCTGCAAAGATTGAAAAAGCTACTATGAAAAACAAAAATTCAATGTCACCAGAGTAAAAGTGAAGACAAACAAAATCTCCTTACTTAGCAAGCAAAAGCACCATATAGCCACACACACACACACACATGCATCAAAAATACCCATTCAGAACTCTTGAAAACTTGGACGAAATCAAAAGAAATCTTTTCAAATCCACAATGATGCAAAAACAATTTTCACAACCAACCCTTCAAATTCTTTAAAAATGTTAGTGAACGTGAAAACAGTTAACAAACAAACAAATTGCAAGCTACATCACACACATGTTGTTTCAAGTCCAACGGCGTGAGATGCAAATTGAACAACACAAACAAACAAACAAACAAAAATCTCCCGAAGAAGAGGAATAATCAAACAGACGGCAAAGTCATGCCACTTGCACCGTTGAGAGAAAAATTGGTTTTAGAGTTCAGTTGTAGTTTTTAGTTTCAGAAAGAGAGTTTTACGGCACTGGAAACACAAGTAGGTCATACAAGTGCCTATGATTAGAGGTGTTACAGGAGAGTAACATACCCAAAAAAAACCCACAAAAAAAAGAAACGGGGAGAGATAAGAACAACAGCAGTTTCATAGGAGAGAAGGAGCAAACCACACTAGAGCACCCTCAAACTACCCACAGCGGTAGTTTACAGGGAGTCTACATAGGCTATCGTGGCTACATTTCAACAGGAACAGAGGAAGAAAATAGACATGCTCCCTGAGGAGAGATAAAAAGAGGAGAAAACCACACCAGAAAACCCAGAAAACCAAGCACGACAAAGGAAAAAATAAACAGACGAGGAAAAAGTAACCAAGAGAGACAAAAGTAATGAAAAGAACAAAATAACCGAAAGAGCGGAAAATGATGACCAAAAGAGGACCAAAAAAATAATCAAAGGGAAAAAGTAACAAAAAAGAAGAAAAGGTCAACAGACGAGGAAAAATTGACTCCAGCAGAGGAAAAAAGAATGACCAAATGAGGAACGCAAAGTTTCCAAAGAAGAAGAAAGAAGCAGAGGATGGAAGGAGGAAAGAACAAAGAAGCAATCAAGGAAAAAAAATTGAACAACAAAAAATTAACAGAGGCGTGAAAGATAAGAGAACATATCTGAATGTCAAGTTAAGAAACAAACATTCACAGAAGAGTGAGAGAAGGAAAAGCCTGGAAGTGGAGAAGGAATAAGATGAGGAAGAGGAAGATGAGGAGAAGAAGGAGGAGGAGGAGGAGGAAGAAGAATAAACCAAATCCATCATGCATGATTGTGTCGGTATCTCACCGAAGCCTCCTCGATGTACTGAGAGGAATCCTCCTCAAACAAGTTGCCGCCTCTCTGGGGGTAGTAGTGACCTTGAGGGGTCAGCGGGGTGTGAGGGTTGCTGGTCTGAAACACAAAGGAGGTGGGGGCGGAGGGGAGTTTAGTTGTAGTAAGACTTTTACGGCATTTGCAACTCAACACTTTGCGGCCTCATCTCGCCGATCGGCGATGTTTAACACCCAGTTTCTTTGGTTTTCCCCCAAAATGCCTTTGCCTTTGATGGCAAGAGTTTATGAGGCTTGTGGCGGCAAAGTGTTAAGGTCATATAAGTGCCGAAGATTAGAGGTGTTACAAGAGAGTAACACACAAAATAGAAGGAAGAGAGATCAGGATTATAGATGTTGGATAGGAAAGAAGGAGCAAACCACACCAGAGTACCCGCCAACTACACGTGTAGGCGGAGAAGATGGGGGGAGTAGAGGATTTGGGTGTAGGTGGGTGGGGGATGGGGCAGGTTGGGTGGTGGAGGTGATTTAGGGGGGGGGGGGGGAGAGGAGGTGGAGGAGATGGAGTAGTCAGGGGAAAGGGGGGGAAATAGAAAATGAAAGGAAGATGGGTGTGGAGAGGGGGAAAGGAGTAGAGGAGCGACAGAATGGTGAGAAAGGGGTAGAGGGTAGAGGAACGGATATGGAGAGATGGAAAAGGACATTGAATGTAAGGTTTCATACAACTTGGTTATATATTTTTTTCAATTTAAAAATAATGCCCATACAAATAATACCAAAACAATCTCACACCATCATCGTCTCTCTCTTCCTCTCCCCCTTCTCTCTCTCTCTCTCTCCCAATAATCCCAACAAAAACAACCACTGCAACAAGTATTACCCCTGGAGTCATGGGAGAACTCATCATCTGCTGGTGTGGTGTCATTGCACCGGCCATAGGCGAGTGGTGGTGTTGTTGTTGCTGCTGCTGTTGTTGCTGCTGCTGTTGTTGGTAGTAGTACTGCTGCTGTTGTTGTTGCTGGTGGTGATGTTGCTGTTGCTGATGTCGCTGCTGGTGATGGTGATGGTGTGACTGCCCGGAGGAAGGACTCTCAAACTCCCCGATACTGTTTTCACTGGCGTCACTGCTGATGTGCTGTTGGCTGAAGGAGAGGCTTGCCGGTCATCATGGGGAAATCAGGCACTCAGGCATAATAATGAACTCAAAAAAGAGTAACATTTATTTTTTCACCCGCTGGGCATTTCTGATATAGAAGTTTCTTTCCCCCCCCCCCCCCCCCCTCAATACCTTTTATTATGTCCATCTATTTTTACTTCATTGAAAAACACTGATCAAAGGCACACAAAATGTACATTTGCATTCTCCAAGGGCATTCAAGCTTTTGCTTCAGAATTCACCAAAAGCTTCAGAATGGTACCAAATACAGTACAGCCTCTATAATTATTTTACTAACTTCCTAGAGTTGAAAAAAAAAGCACATTGACATAATAACAGCATCTAACTTTCTAGCGTAGGGGAAAATAGGAAGACACCTTTTAAGTTTTAGTAGAGGTTTTACGGTGCTCGCAACTGCATAAGAGAGTAACGAACATAAAAAAAGAAGAAGGGGAGATAATGACGATAGATATGTTCGATAGGTAAGAAGAAGCAAACCACACCAGAGCACCCACCAACCACCCACACAGGGAGACAGACAGACAGAAATAAAAGAGGAGGGAAAAAAAGAAGAACCATGCCACTATAAACCCTAGTCTCCACCCGTTACCTGTCTGTAAAGTATCCACACACACACAATGCAAAAGGAAAAAAAAGGAGGGAAAAGTAACTGAGAGAGAAAAAGAAAATCCGAAAAAGCAGAAAATGATCTAAAGAGAAAAAGGTGGCTCTCGTGGCCTAGAGGTTAAGGTGTTGGCCTCTCATTCAAAGGTCCCGGGTTCGATTCCGGGTAGCGACCAAAAAATTTTCTACTCTAAAATTGTCTCCTTTCACATCCTTTCCTGATCTCTAACAATGTTCTGTTGTCTGCTTTCATTTCCACTTTCTGCCCCCACCCCTCACCGCCTTTGCCCCCTCCTCTGGGCTCCTGACTCTTTCTGCAGCCTTTCTACTGCTACTCCTTGGCTCCTCCTAACTGCTGTCTTTCTGCGACACCCCTGAACTTCTGGTAGGAAAGATCTACACCTAGCCTTCTCGGACAAGGGCGAAAAATCTCGGAGGGCCCGTGTGCAGGTTGCGCACGTTAAAGATCCCTTGGTGGTCTAAAATCGATAAGAGTAGGCTTCGGCCGCCACCCGGGCAAAATTCAAAATTTCCTACCAACGAAAAAGTATTAGGTGTGTCCCGCGCGCTCATATGACCTTATGCAGTTGCGAGCGCCGTAAAACCCTATACTAAACAAACAAACAAACAACAAACAAAAGAGAAAAAAGCAAACAAGGGAGGGGGGGAATATGACCAAAAGAAAAATACAACTAAAAGAGGAAAAAGTAACCAAAAGGAAAAACAAACAAAAATTTTTTTAAAATATAGTAACCAGATGAGCAAAAATTGACTTCAACAGAGGGAAGAAATAACGGCACAATTCATTTGGGTCACCCCTTCCTTGTTTTGTTTGTATTCTGTCTATAGTCGAGGACTGCCAGATTTTCATTAGTTTAGCTGGGTTCTTTATTTTGAGGCGTTGTTCAAATAGAAGGAAAATAAAACAAGGCGATTTGATTTTCTTTCATGTTACTACTGTTTTCAAATAAACCGTGTTTGGTTGAAACAGAATCCACTGTATAAATGTAAACCCCCCCCTCCATACACACACACAAACACACAGACCTCCACCCCCGTCAACCAAAACATCACCACTAACCTGGGCTGTGTATTCCCGCGGTGTCTCTCCGACCGTCTCAGTCCTGAGGTGTCCTGTTGCTGTCTCGCTGACCAGTTGCCTTGACCGCTGTGAGATCTGGGGAGGGGGAGGCTGAAGGCTGTCCTCATCATAGGGAGCACAAATGTCTGTTCTTTGAAATGCAGGTGCTTGCTTTTAAAAAAAATAATTTTTATGTCCCCACCACCACGATTTAGTTCATATATTGTTATTGATAGACCCTCCAGCTGCCTTCTACCAGCATCTTTTTAAAAAAAATTAATTATTTTATTGAAAGTTTTTTACTCCCCCTATCGACACAACGTGGACCATATCAGGGCTAACCCGGCCTGAAAGGGACACAACATATCAGCAGAAAGGCAAAGATACTAGACAACTAGCTGGGTACCCAATCGATGAAGGGACTCAAAAGAATCGATCGTCAAGTCATTGTCATGATTGTGGGACCAGTGCGCACTGCTTGTGAACCGAAGTCCCACTTGTTTACAATGGTGTCTTAGAAGACAAACGTTCCCAAGATTAGAACTAAACGAAACTCATGAAAAACTGAAAATTAAACTACGGTGATTTCAGACTCCTAGATATAATTGTGCACCCTTTAAATGATTCTTAACCAGTGTTAATTTTTTCAAATTCGAAAAATAAGTGGTTCGGAAGTTTTAGGTGACCAAAGTGACGAACTCTCACAAATATGATACTAGCTGGGCCCCCTTTTGATGAAAGGAATAATCGGTGCATTGACATCAACTGAAAGACTACATTTATACTCTACTGGAACGGAGCAATAAATCTTGAGAGAAAAGTGACACATGTGTTTCCAAGTTGCCAACTATAGTTATAATAGACGTATAGATTGATTCTCTATTCCTCTTTAGTGGTTGTACACTCCAGAATTTCAAAGATGTGCCATCAGTGCGAACGGCTAGTGAACGGAAACCTCACTTGTTTAAAATGGCATCCTAGAAGACGGACTTTCCCAAGATTGGACCTAAACGAAACTAATGAAAAACTTAAAATTAAACGACTGACTTTAAGCTCCCCAATGAAACTGTGCACCCTTTAAATGATTCTGAACCATCATTAATTTTGTCAAATTCGAAAGTTAAGTGGTTCGGAAGTTTTAGGCGGCCAAGGTGATGAACTTTCACAAATATAATATTATAGAGATAGTGATTGCACCTTCTTTAGTTTTAGAAAGAGTTTTACGGCACTTGCAACACAATTAGGTCATATAAGTATCCAAGATTAGAGCTGTTACAAGAGAGTAACAAACACAAAAAAGGAGGAGGAGAGAAAAAGACGATAGATGTCTTTAGTTTGAGTAAGAGTTTTACGGCCCTTGAAACACAATAAGGTCATATAAGTGCTGAAGATTATAGGTGTTACAGGGGAGTAACAAACACAAAAAAGAAGGAGAGATAAAGACGATAGATGCTCGATTGGAAAGAAGAAGCAAACCACACCAGTGCATCCACAATAATGTTCCATGACGTTGGGCAGTCAGGGCTATACAACAACAGAGGAACCCCCGTTGAACCATCAGACAGCCCCACTGTCCCGTCAATTTCATACTGGTCCCAAGGGAGGCTGTATAACCAGGTTCATTTTTGTTTTAATAGAGGTTTTACGGTGCTCGCAACAGCATAAGGTCAGATGAGCGCCAAGGGGTGGACGTCAACAGAGAAGTCCTTACAGGGAGTCAGGCTTACTCTGCTCACCTCTCCAGCTTCAACAGCACAAAGTCTGCTTCGACTATCAAATTTCTCCCACGAGGAAGTCATCGAGATAGAGAAGACTCTCGGCTCTGAATACATACGCATGTGCACGTAGACCAGCAACAAAAGGCACTTTTCAAACTCAGATGGCACAGCAGAATTGTGTTGTGTCACGTTGGGCAGTCAGGGTACTACGGCACTTGCAACACAATAAGGTCATACAAGCGTTGAACATTAGAGGTGTTACAAGAGAGTAACAAACACAAAAAAGAAGGAGGGGAGATAAAGACGATAGATGTT